CACCTGTTACTTGTCTCTCCATTGACTTTCTCTCCATCACCCTGGGTCTTTGGGGAGAAGCAATCCCCACTGTCCTTACTCCCCGCCCATGCCCAGCGTCCCAAGTGGCTTCCTTGGGTCACACACTGCTGTTCTCAAGTGGCTTCCTTGGGTCACACACTGCTGTTCTCAAGTGGCTTCCTTGGGTCACACACTGCTGTTCTCAATCTCCGCCTCTCTGGAAGCTGGGTGGGCACCCTCCCAGCTAGCAAGGGCTTCCACCAGTGCTCCTGGCACGGTCAGAGCAGCAGTGAGGCTGGCTGGCTGGCACCAACATCAGCTTACAGTTGGGAAAACTAAAGCTCAGTGAGGGAAAGGGACTTTTCCAGGGTCATAATCATTTCCCACAGTGTTTCCAAACCATGGAATGAGATCCAATAAGTGGATCTGAAATAAGTGAATTGCAACTGCACTGAAAACAACAACAACACCAAATCAGGGTGGTCAAGATATGTAATTTTTTGTGTGCAATTGTTTCTCTTGTTTATCAAGGAATAAATGAATGTAGTGGATGGTGATGTAAAATGCATTGCTTACTGTGGATTCTAGTAAATGTGGTTTTTTGTTTTTGTTTTTTAAAACGCTGAGTGAGGTGACCTGAATTTTGGTACCAATGCTCTTTCTTCTGCCTCAGGCCACCTCTCAACCTTTCAGAAGCAGCTCCTGCCAATGAGATGTGAACTCTGACAGCCCCATTTGGGGGAAAGGAATCTGCTTTCAGTAGATCTTACGTCACAATGCTGAAACCAGCTAACGCTTACTGAGCTGTTATAAGCTCTGTGATGAGCACTGGGACAGCACTATCTATTTTAAAGCTCTAAAGAACCACACGAAGGAGGTGTGTTTTGACCGTCCCCACTTTACGAAGACAGTGAGGCGCAGAGAGGCGAAGTAACTTGCCCAAAGTCACAGAGCCGGCAAGCAGCAGAGAAAATAGATTTGTCTGCCTCCAAGGCTCCATATTCTAATGACCTATAACTTCACTGCGATTGCCGTGCCATAGCTCTGATAAATGCCTTCTTGTCAGAATGGACAGAAAACAGGGGCGGAAAGCAGCCTGAGGAAATGAGGAAGTTCTTTTCTGTCTCCAGCTGAGGGGCAGGGCTGACAGGAGACCCTGATGGATATGTCATCACTAGTCTCCAATCTCTGTGGTCTCACTCCATTCTCTCAACCCAGCCCAACGTTGGGCCCCTAACCATCAGATAGCTGTAATTTATGGACAAGCTGGTAACGTGAGCAGGATAAAAAAATCCAAGCTTACAAATTCCCACTGTGCGGCCACAGCCCAGATAAGCTTATCTGTGGAGTCTCCTGCCTTGATTGCTTCCAGAGTTGCAAAGGCCGTCATTTATCTGGAGGAAAGCACATCTGCGGGCTCCCCGAGGACCAGGCCCGCAGTGAGCTCTCTCTGCCCTAATTCAGTTTGCACCATTGTCTGGGCTGCTCAATTAGCCCTTATAATGGACTCGCTCCCTCTCTAATCAGCTCCTGTGCAAGTCTTTTCTCCCAGTGGGATTTTAAGGCAGGAAGAGCATCTTTCAGCCCCCACAGTGCAGAACACACGACAGATCTGTAATAAACGGAGGTTGTTAACTGACATGTTAATCATTCGGGAAGAAGGGCGGGGGCTAGCAGGCAATGTAGGTGTCCTCATGCCAGGCACGGAGTGAAGTTGCTTATATTCACCACTTCATCCTCACAGCAACCCTAGACAGGTGTCAGTATCCCCATTTTACAGATGGGGAAACTGAGGGTTAAAGTTTGCATAATGTGCCCAATGGTACAGAGCTGGGAGGAGGGGGAAGCTGGAGTGAATCCAGGTTCTTCCTCTCCTCTGTCTAGTGTAGTCCCAGCTTCCCTAGAATGAGCCTCCCAAGACATATATGTCTATGTTTTAACCTGAGAAGTAAAGAATGGTATATGTGGCACACACTTTCTCTCACTGATCACTGGGCTCTTCAATGAGTGTTGGGAACATTCTCCCATGCTTGCGCTTTGGGGACCAAGCACTGAGCTGAACAGACAATTTCTCGTTTTCCAAGCCCAATATCCTTCCCTCTAGCCAGCCATGAGCTGGGCACGTGAGTGCATCAATCTGAATGAAGGCACAGAACCTGCCCTGCAGGGGCTCACAGTCTGGTAGAGTGAATCGGACAAGTACAGAACATTGTAGGGGCCAGAAGAAACGTAGAGCAAGAAAGTATTACAGAAGCATTGAGGGGAAGGTGCACACGAACACGTATGCCAGGGCGTAGAGAAAAGACTGGAAACTTTTGGGCGATGGGATGTTAGGCAGCTTTTTATCTTCCTTATACTTGTGTATCTTTTCTAAATTAATGCACATCCTTTAGACTCAGAGAAAAATGTAATTTTAAAATGCAGTTTGGAGGAGGAAGCAATCTGAGGAAGTAAGGAAGGGCTGGTAGGAATTACAGCAGAGCTGAGCCTTGGAGGGGGAAGCACTGAGACAGGGGCGATGGAGGGAGGGGCGCTGGGGCAGGGGAGGTGGAGGGAGGGGTGCTGGGGCAGGGGAGGTGGAG